ATTTCTTAACTATCGTTAGCAGTTTACAATAAGTTATTAGTTGTAAGACTAGGACTTGCTGAGGTAGGGCTTGTAAACAGGGACTGAGGGAACCTAGAGGCTAGCATTGCCCTTGACAAGTTAATAGGCACCACAGTTATATGTTAATGGAGGGTTCACAACTTCCTTTTGCCAGACATAAGGACAATGAATCCCTTTTTAGTCAGCAAGAACTTCCTTCAAACCCCTGAGGGACTGGGGGCTTTTGTCTAAATGTCTGACCTTGGGAAAAAGACTTTGTGGCTTTAACTCTGAGAAGTGTGACCCTGTTAGGAACCAAGGACTGTTCAGCTACTGACACCATGCCAATCTGAGTGACCTGTGTTGCCACCCAGAGTCATGGTGTCATTTGATCCCAAGCTGCTGCTGAGAGCCATACCTAGGTCCATGAACCTACAATGCCAGGTTCACTGTTGATGTCAGTGACTCCTTTTACCACTAAAGCAGTGCAAATGCCTGGGGTCTAAATAAACACCAAGGCCATGTTGTTGCCTGAAGTCATGCTGCCACAGATCCGTAAAAATTGGGGTGATTTGTATTGCTGCCCAGGACCATGGAGACACAGGGTCTGTATCCAGGTAGCTGTAGCCAGGGGCCGTATCTGGGTCCTTGGCCCTACCATAGTCAGGGTCTGGGTTGAGGTCTATGATTCTTATTACCATCAAAGGCCATGCAACTACCTGGGGTCTGTATCACACCTGGAGCCATGATGGAGTCTGGGAACCACCATGCTGCTAGACCCACTCCAATCTGAGAGTTCTGTACTGCCATCCAGGACCAAAGTGACATCCAGGCCCAAGCTGCTGCTGATGACCATGTCTGGGTCCATGGTCCTGCTGCAGCTAGGGCCTGTGTTGATGCCCAATGTCCATGTTACCACAGAGGCCCATGACAACCATGTGTCAAATTATGTGTTTTTTGATTGGTTGTGGTTTTTTCCTAGTGGTCTTTGTTGCAAAGAAAAGTTTTCTTGACAAGGGGTGAAGAGTAAATATATTTGTGAATATAAGGATTTTTCTGATTTTTTTTAAATGCTACAAGATTCCCAGGGGCAGTAGGCAGCAGAAATGCTGTAGGTCCCAAATGGTGGTAGCGAGCCATGTGGTGGCAGACAGTGGGCCCTGGGAGCAGCCAGTCCCAGGCAGAGATGGCTGCTGGTCCCCAAGCAGTGGCTGATCCCAGGCAGGGAGACATATGACGGGCAGGCAGGAGACAGAGACATGGATAGACACGACATGCAGAGTGAGGTTGAATATTTATTCAGGGGGCTATGGAGGGGGAAGGGAAAAGGGGGGAGGAGAGAGAGAGAGAGAGAGAGAGAGAGAGGAGGAGGAGGAGGAGAAAGAGACGGGGGGAAGCAGAGAAGTGGGGAGAGAGGCAGAAACGAAGCTGCCTCTCCCAGAGGAAGACGGAAAAGGAGAGTGAGCTCAGGCTGGAAGCTGAAGATCAGCCTGCCTCAGCAGATGGGGGAGGGAATGGGCATGACTTGTCTCTTAAAGAGACAGAACAACCATTGCAAAGATAAATGTTTACAGACTATTATTAGGAACTAGGCTGATTTAGTAAAATGGTGGTATTTGGTTTAATAAAAGCCTCTTCACCCACATAAGAAACTCCAATCGAACCAGATTAGACCAAATTAAAATGCCCATGTTTAATAAATGTGGCACTCTCGGGTGGACCGAGACAGCATGGTGGGGAGAAAAGCCCACGCAAACATGAAGCCATGTGTTCCTTTTTCCGGTGTGAGCCTAAATAGCCTGTGGGAGTGATCCTGACTCTCCCCAGGGGAGGGATCAGTGCTTGGCAGGCTGGGAGTTGCAGTCTGGACTGGACCAACTTCTAGGCCAGGGGCTTCCAATCATCCCAGACTTCTTGGATATAGGGGCGTTAGAGGGCTGGGGTGATGCCCCCAACTTCATATTACATTCCAGACTCTTTGGATATAGGGGTGTGACAAGGAGCTGAGATGATATTTATGACCAACATTTTAGGCTCTCTTTCGATAAAGAGGCATTGGCTCAAGTCTGGCTACTTCCCGCAGGCATGGGGTGACATGGGAGAGAGGAGAACTGAGAGTTGGTGCACTCACACTCAGTGAGAGGAGTGACTGGAGAGACATCCGGTTTGCTGTCATTCTGGAGTATGAGAAGGCAGATGGCTAGGAGAAAAAAAATATTGTTATTATTGGCCGTATAAAATGGGGCTAGCCATGGGATGGATCACAATAGCAGATAAAACCAGATTTTAGTTGTCAGGTGTCCTTGATCCAGAAGAGTTGATACCAATGATGAAGTCCCAGGAATTGTTGTAGGTGTTTGGCATTATCTGGAGAGCACTTTGTGAGTTGGTCTTGGCTCAATCAGCAAGAATGACCTGTAAAATAGGCTTGAAACTGGCTGGGGTTAGTGTATCAGAACTTTAAGAGAGCTGCAACAGATTTAGCAAAAGAACATTTTAGGAGATAATTAAAGGAAATTGGAAACTCTGAACCTCTAAAGACACACCTGAAACCTGTTAATCCTAGACTATGAAGCCTGTTAAAGAGGCATACCTGTCTGTATTTTAGCAGGAAACTTCATTAAATGTCATGGATGAAGTAATAAGTTAATAGTACCTTAAGTTGTCAAATGCCATTAGATAGATCTGGGAGGGATAAATGAGCAAAAAATGAGACATCTTTTTAGCTATGCAGGAGATTCCAAATCCTCTCCTTAGTCCTTGCAGAACACCAGTCTTAGAAGCAGTGCTTGCCATTAGCTCCAGAGTACAAGAGGCCCAAAGATTTTTCCTGTGGAAGAAGATTTAATCTCCCTGGTTTGGCAAGATAAGAAGATCGATTCCCTAAAAGGCATCCAGGAAGTTGAAGAGGTAGAAGGCCACATTTTTGCTGTGTGAGTGGCTTTGCCAAATCCAGAGGCAAGGCCTGGAGGCGGAAGGTCTTCTGTCTTTTTGGAGGAGCTAAGGAGTGCTGCGGGAGCTGCATGTCTGTGTTAGCAGTTCTTGTTGTTAAAACGCCATGCCCTCAGATCTTTAAAGGCACTTGAGGACTAGGAACCATTACCTGTTATTTAAACTGGGCATATAAGCTAAATTTAGGCATGTATTTTATCCAATTAGTTTCAGTTTACCAATGCTGGTAGGTGCAAGAAGATTAAAAGAAATATTTTGAGCACATAACGAAAACACATTTACACAGACATAGTGTGGCCACATCATTTTGACAGACAGACAGACAAAAGATTTTTAGAAACCTGTGTTAGCTGACCAATTTAAAAATTCCGATGCAGTTAGGCCAGCCTGTGAAGCACAGAAAACTGCTAGAGGGGGAAGGGGAGGGGCAGTGTGCATGGTGGGAACCCTGGGCTTTGGAGTCTTGTTTAAGTTAGGTGTTAGTGACAACTTAAAAGGATTTTTTGTAAAAGGCTGCCCTAGTGGCAAACAGCAGGGAGGGGGCAGGAGCAAAGAAGGGCCAGAGGGATCCCGGCATAGGTGGCAAAGGCCAGATAAACAGCTGACAGACGAGCACCTCTCCAAAGGGACAGGTGACAGCCTCTGCTGTCCTTGGCCAATAGAAAGGGAATCGGAATTAGATTGGTGGTTGTTGTCATTTTAAAGATAAGTTTCATAGGGGTAAGGAAAAATGAATATAGGAACTTTATCAGATTGCTCTGAATGAAGAGGAACTCTGAATAAAGAGAAACCCTGACGACAAATACCCTCTCTTTGTCATCTGCTTCTCTTTCCTCTGTTCCCCACATACAAGCTCCCTCCAATAAAGGCAGCACGGTAATTGAAAACTAACCAGCCCAACAAAATAAATAAAGTCTTACCTTGGGCCATAACACTACAGAACTTTCCAAGACACACAAATCACAGAAGGTCATTATTACACACAGTGTACTCAAAAAGCTTATCTGCCCATATGGGCTGAATTTCCCTCGTGCCAAATAAAGGCAAAATTTTGCTGTGTCTGCCAGATTCTGGGCATTACACTGAGTTCCCAGAGGGAACCCAGGCAGAATTGGAGAGAATGATGATGTGGGATTTGGGACTACTACTCATGAGTACTTTCATTTAAAGAACTTACCTCTCAACCTTAACTACAACTGAGAGTTAATATCACACTGAAATAAAAAAAGTTCTAGTTTTATTTCCACATATATTTGAAATGTTTGTGGCATTTATTTTTTTATTTTCAAATAAATGTTTCAAATATGCTTTTTTAGAATTAGCCTTTTCAATGTAGTATAATAATTTAAATGACATATCAAGTAGAGAATATTTTTAATATACACAGTGCATAAGCATATCTGTTATTAAAGTGGCCAGTGTCATCTGCTCTATTGTTGTACCATATCATAACTTGGTTTATAATTGTTCCTTGTCTAAAATATTTATGTTCATGTGGCATTTATCTGGTACTTGAAAGTATTTATATTTATCCCTTTGATACTAAATCAAGCTATTTTGTCTATAAATGCATTTTATGATTGATAATGAAGAACAGCTTGCTTATGAAAAATACCAGGCACTAAAGTTCAAGAAATGTACAGCAAGTCAAAATCAAAGCTACATATCTGCTAAGTGATTACCAGTTACATTGAAGAGCTACCATCCTGTAGGGAGCCGTCCGGAGAACGCCATTACAAGATGGCGCCGGCGGTTCTGCAGCTTGGAGGTAAACAAGTCCTTATTTGGTATTGCCGCGTGGGGCTGAGTGCCCTTTGCCTGTACATGTGCAATTGAGCCTTGTCCCTGGCCAATCCCGAGGCTCTGGGCATCAGCAGACTGGTAGTCACCAATCAGGACAGTGCCCGAGTCCCTTCTACCTATATAAGCAGATGCCGCTTGGCCTTCACTCTCTCTCACTTCCCGCTCTCCCTTCAACCAAGAGGCTCCAATAAAGTGTGATGTGAGAAGAATCCTCGACTTGTGGTCGTTCTTCCTTGCTGGTCAAGGGGTCCGCCACAACTGGTGCCGAGAACCCGAGACGCCGGACAACGTATCGGTCACCGAGCGAGAGGGCTGCAGAGGATTCAGAACTCAACACACGGAGGGGCGACATCGGTAAATCCTCCAGGTATGCTGATTGCTGGGCTTGGTCCAGAGTGGTTCGGCCTTGCATTAGTTTTGATGTTTGTATTTGTCCTTCTCTGCTGTTTTTGGCTGCGTTGCCATCAACCAGGCCATGAGTGTCTTTGCTGCTGCGACCGCGTCTAGTCAAAAGTGAAAGTAAGTCCACGGTAGATCGAGCTGCGTTTCCTACAAAGAACGTAACTCCCTTGTAAGTAAAAAGGGGGGTTCTTTAGCCCAGGGGGTAAGTTACACATAGTTAAGTGTGAACCATGGGCAATTCTTATGGAACCGCCTCGGGCCCCAGCGAGATCTACAGCCCAATCCAGGCGCTTTTGTGGCAGCACGGTCTAAAGATTTCTTCCGGGACAGTCTCTATGATCGTTAAGGATATCGATAGGATCTCGCCCTGGTTTGCAGTTTCAGGTGACTTAACCTTGCCATCATGGGATAAGTTAGGCAGAGACTTAGAGCAAGCTAAACAAGAAGAGAGGATTGGAAGGGGCACATTTCCTCTTTGGAGGTTGGTGCTGAACTGCTTGAAGGAAGGACGTAATACTGATATATTAAAGGAAGGTCGCAAGGCATTACAGAAACATCAAGACAGCCTTTCAGAATCAGATCATAAGGAGGAGGATAAGGATAGGCCTAAAAGAAAAAAGGAAAAATCAAAGGAAAAGGATCCGGAAATAGTAACAAAAGAAAAGGGGAAGAAAAACCCCATAAGTTCAGTGCAGGAGGAGTTTATAAATCTAGATTTATCAGAGGAGGAGTAGGGTCCTCAAGAGGAGGAGGAGCTTGAGGAGGCAGCCGCTAGATATGAGAAAGAGCGAGGTAACCGAAGGCGGGGCAATGATGACGTGTTTGCGAAGGGGAAGGGAAGACTCGTGGTGCCCGTGGCTTCCGCCCCTCCCCCATCCGCCCCTCCACCCATGTACTCGCCGGTGGCGATTGAGGGCTGCAGTTTTATAGGGAGGCAAACTTGGTTGCGCTTGGCGACTGCCTTCCCTGTTTTTGAAGATGCACAAAATCATGTTAGGTGGTATGAACCAGTACCTTACAAACAGCTTAAAGATTTGGTTGAGGCTGCAAAAATTTTGGAGTAACTGCCAGTTATACCGTTACCCTATTGAGAAGGCTTGCTACAGGAGTGCTGACGCCCACAGACTGGCAAGAGATTGTGAGAGCAGCTCTTTCGATGGGGCAGTTCCTGGATTTTAAATCCATTGTCCAGGATAAAGCTCAGGTCCAAGCGCACATAAACATACAAGGTGGTCACCCTGAATGGATGGCCGATATGCTTCTTGGACAGGGATCATTCGCTGGAAACCAGACTAATTATCCTTATGAAGTTTATCAACAGATTAATGATATTAATTATAGAGCATGGAAATCCCTCCCTAATAAGGGTGAAACGGCTGGTGACCTAACCAAGATTATTCAAGGTTCTGCAGAGCCATTCTCCGATTATGTGACTAGAATGACAGAGACAGCTGAAAAAATATTTGGGAATTTGGACACGTCCATGCCTATTGTGCAGTAGATAATTTTTGAACAAAGCACCAAGGAATGTCAAAGAGCGATAGTTCCTGTAAAGGGAAAAGGGCTAGAGACCTGGATCAGAGCCTGCCATGAGGTAGGAGGGCCTCTGACCAATGTGGGACTGGCGGCTGCTGTACTTGCTGCTACTAGAGGCGCCAAGGGAGATAGGGAGAAGACATGCTTTAAATGCGGACAGTTAGGACACTTTAAAAGACAATGTCCCAGTAATAATAGTGCCTCAAATTATTCAGGACCCTCAGCGTCAACATCGCAGAGGCAGCCAGGCACTTGCCCCAGATGCAAAAAGGGAAAGCATTGGGCCAATGAATGCAAATCAGTTAAGGATATAAATAGACAACCTATTCCTCAGGCTATTCGGTTGGGGTCAAAAAATGGATTGAGGGGCCCAAGTCCCCAGGGCCCGAAAATATTTGGGGCAATTCAGAGCTCGATGGCAGTCCCCAATATGACTCCATCATCCCCACAAGAAGGGCAACCAAGGGCTCCGCAGGGCTGGACCTCCGTGCCACCTCCGGACTGGTATTAACTCAAGATATGGGAGTTCAGGTTATAGAAACAGACATGTCCGGACCATTAGAACAAGGCACTGTTGGCATAGTCCTGGGGCACTCATCCTCAATTATGAAGGGCCTGATAGTCCATCCTGGAGTCATAGACCCCGATTATGAAGGCTGCATTAAGATTCTCTGCCATTCTCCACACAGGGTGGTTTCCATCGCCCCAGGGGATAGAGTGGCTCAACTCTTGGTTCTGCCTTCAGGGAATAACAAACTTCCAGCGGATGGGCTTGTCCAAAAGGATAAAAGCCTTGGTTCCACGGGAGTGGATTTGGCTTGTTTGTCCTTGGAGCTTGATCAGCGGCCAATATTGAATTTGGAAATAGAAGGAAAGGTATTTTCAGGCCTGGTGGACACTGGGACGGATCATAGTATTACCAGATCCCAGGCATGGCCAAAACATTGGCCCCTACAACAAGCCTTCCAATCCCTTCAAGGTCTGGGATGTGCACATACGCCGCACATAAGTGCTAAGGAGTTGGTCTGGAGAACAGAGGATCAGAAAGGGACTGTTCAGCCCTTTGTGGTTGATTTGCCCATTAACCTGTGGGACTGGGATGTGCAGTCCCAAATGAGACTGAGACTTACAAATGATTACTCTGATGCCAGTAAACAAATGATGGCACGTCAGGGCTATGTTTCCAATAAGGGACTTGGGAAATGTCTCCAAGGTAGACAGGATCCTGTGGAGCCTGTGTCCAAATTGAATAGGAAAGGCTTGGGTTTTTCATAGGGGCCACTGAAGTCGTAGCTTCCAGACAGAAGATAATGCCCATCCCTTGGCTAATAGATAAGCTGGTATGGGTCCCTCAGTGGCCCCTTTCCTTGAAAAAGCTGGAAGCTGCAAAACAATTAGTACAGGAACAGTTGGAATTAGGACATTTAGAACATTCTGTATTGCCTTGGAATACACCCATTTTTGTAATCAAAAAGGCTTCTGGAGGTTGGAGGTTGTTGCATGACCTTAGGGCGGTCAATGCTCAGATGCAAGTCATGGGCCCAGCCCAACAGGGCCTCCCATTGCTTTCAGCATTACCAAAAAATTGGCCGGTAATGTCCTTGGACATTAAGGACTGTTTCTTTTCAATTCCCCTGTGCCCTCAGGACCGGGAGAGGTTTGCATTTACTCTTCCTTCTGTAAATAATGAACAGCCCAATGCCCGCTTTCAATGGAGAGCCCTCCCACAGGGGATGGTCAATAGTGCCCTCATGTGTCAACTGTATGTGGATGCAGCATTGAGTCCTGTTAGGAAAGTTACCTACAGTCAAGATCATCCATTATATGGATGACATATTATTGGCTGCCCCCCATCAGGGAACCCTGCAGGAGGTTTTCCAAAAGGTTTCATCCCTTTTGGAAGATCAAGGACTCTACATAGCCTCAAATAAAGTACAAACATCTTCAAGGGTGAAGTTTTTGGGGACTATCATCACCCCTGAAAGCGTCAGGCCTCAGAAAGTGCTTATTCGCACCCACCACCTTAGAACTCTTAATGATTTCCAACAGTTGCTGGGGGATATAAATTGGATTAGAGGATATTTAAATGTACCTCGGTCCGAGCTTTTGCCTCTATTTTCCATCTTAGAGGGCAATCCTGATATCTGTTCACCTAGAGCCATGACCCCGGCTGCATTGCAGGCGCTTAAAAAGGTAGAGTCTGCTATTGCCACAGCCCAATTACAGCGGGTGAATCCATCCTTACCAATCCTGCTGTGCATTCTCAAAACAAAGAATTATCCCACTGGAATGTTGTGGCAGGATGGGCCCCTCTGGTGGATGCATGGAAATTCCATGGGAGCAAGATCTGTCCAATACTATCCAGAACTGGTGGCTGGCCAAGCATTAATGGGAATAAAGCTTTGCTTAGCCTACTTTGCGAGGATGCCAGACAAGTTGGTGGTTCCCTATACAAGGGAACAGGTAGAGGTCTTGACAGCCACAGTGGATGGTTGGGCTATCCTGCTTTGTGCATTCCCAAATGTTATTGATAATCATGTGCCAAGACACCCCTTGATAAATTTTGTAGAGAAAAATTTGGTGTATTTTCCCAGGATTACCTCGCCTCACCCATTGGTGGGAGCCTTAACGATCTATACAGATGGTTCCAAGACGGGGAAGGGGGCTTTGGTAGCGGGAAATGCTAAACCCGTGGTTTTTCAGTTTTGGCCCGATTCCCCCCAAGTCACTGAGTGCTTGGTAGTTTTGGAGGTGTTCCAGAGGTTTTTTGAGCCATTTAATTTAATTTCAGATTCACAATATGTGGTCAATGCTGTAGCCTCTCTTGAGGTAACAGCCTCAATTCGCTGCTCAAGTACAGTGTCCAATATTCTTTTACAAATTCAAGAATATGTTTTAAAAAGAGAGAATTCCTTTTATGTTGCTCATATTCGAGCCCATTCCCTTTTCCCAGGACCTATGGCGGAGGCCAATGCACAAGCTGATCGTGCTACTCAAGCACTAGCCCTTGTGGCTGCAGATTCACTCCAGCTAGCTAGAGATTTCCATCAGCTCTATCATGTCCCAGCTAATACACTTCGCCTAAGATTTAAGATCTCTAGGGACAATGCCAGAGGAATAGTAAAAGCCTGTCCCTCCTGTGTGACCATGCTACATCCCCCACATGTTGGGGTAAATCCCAGGGGATTGAAGCCAAACTCACTCTGGCAAATGGACGTGACTCATATCTCGGAATTTGGCAGGCAAAAATATGTTCATGTGTCAGTGGACACATGTTCCGGGATAATTCATGCCACCCCCCTAGCTGGGGAGAAAGTAATTCATGTAAAAACCCATTGCTTAGAGGCCTGGGCGGCCTGGGGGAAGCCCACCCGTCTTAAGACTGACAATGGCCAGGCATATGCCTCACAGGGCTTTAAA